CGTCCGACCCTGGCTGGGTACCCGCGCGGCGTGAGGTGTGCAGGCGGGGCGGGTGCCCATCTCTGGGGCTGGGGGAGCGCACTGCGCGCCGGACGCGCGCGCCCCCTTCCCGCGTGGGAAGCCCGGGTTCTGGCCCGGCCGGTAGCGGAGGGCGTGGTTTCTGGGCCCAGCGTGGTCTCCAGGTGTGTGGTCGCCCGAGAGCCACCTGCAGGTGTGCAGCGGGGGGGGGGGGGGGGGGGGCTGCACGGACAGCCGCTGCTGGGAACGGGGTCTGCAGGTGCCTGCGTGGCCGCGCCAGGGTCAGAGCGAAGCAGGACTCAGAGTGGGTAGCTGGGACCCTCGGGGAGCGAGGGGGGCGCAAACAAAAGGTAAAAAGAATGACCAGGGAGGAGAGGAGAACAGGTGACGAGAAGAGGAGGTCATGGGGGTGCCCAGTGTGGTCCGGCGCCAGCGTGCTGCCCGGTGCGTGGCCCTGCAGCTGGCGTGGTCTACAGCTGGGGCCGGAGAGGGAACGTGGTGGGCGGCAGAGACAGGACGGGCTTCGGGGAACGGTGTGGGAAGGAGGGGGTCCGACCGGGTAGGGCCCTGCGTTCCCTGCGCTTGATGTGCGCTGGCCACCACAGCCAGGCTGGGCTCGGCACCTCTGTTGCCAGGCCCTGCTGCTTCCCCACCCCGTCCTGGTCCCCGAGAACTTGGGGCAGAGTTGGTAGTCACTCTGGGTGTGGTTGAATGCCCTGGCTTGGAAATTGGAGACAGCACTGGGTCTGAGCCATGTGACCTTGGGTGAGCCCTCCTTCCCCAGGGAACCTCACCCTCTCGGGGCCGTAAACTGGAGGGGACTGCACCGCCTACAACCCGGGGCACAGGACACCTTGGCACTTGTGCAGAGCTGTGTGAGGGGCCGGGGCCAGCCTGAGGCTCGGGCCGGGCTGTTGGCTGTCACCCCACAGACAGGGAGCGTTTGGGGTCACGCCAGGGTGCTCCTCCTGGGATGCCGTCAGCAGGGCAGGAGGGCTCTGTAAATATTTATCCTTCCCGTTCGCAGCTTTCAGCGTCTTTGAAAGCTCCAAAGCACCTCTGAGGGACAATGCGGCCCTCCCTCCAGCAGCGAGCAGGGGAGGGGCGAGGAGGGGAAATGGGGCCACAGCGCGGGGGACAAGATGTACTGAGAACCTTGGCAGTGCTGCCTACCCACTGCTGTGTGACGGGACCAGTTCCCTAACCTCTCTGGGCCTCAGGGGTGGGTGATGCTGGGTAGAACAGCGTACTGGTACTGGTGGCATTCCTCACCTCAGAGCCGCTTCCCACCTTCATGCTGACAGCCAAGGGCGTCCACTTAAACCAGGTAAACCAGGTGCGGTCAAGTCACCTCCGAATCCTGGTGACCGCAAGCGTGTCTCAGTAGAACTGTGCTCGGTAGAAAGG